CTCTTGGGCTTAGGCAATTCTCTTGTCTCAGCCTCCTGAGTAGCTAGGACTACAGGCACCTGCCACAACGTCCAGCTATTTTTTATTGCAGTTTGGCTGGGGCCGGGTTTAAACCCTCCATCCTCAGTATATGGGGCTGGTGCCCTACTCACTGAGCCATAGGCACCACCCAATGCCTGGCTTTTGTAGGCTGGTCTCGAACTCTGGAGCACTGGGCAGACTACTCGCCTCAGCCTCCCAGAGTGCTAGGATTACAGGTATGAGTCACCGCACCCAGCTTTTTAAAACTACTTTTAATTTCATTTTAAATAGTCCCCTGTGACATGTGGCTACTATTGTATGGGGCAAAATGGGTGTCAGGCAATTCCTGCCCCAGGTTAAAGATTTCTAGTAACAGATCCCACCACTGTGCTCCATGTGTAAAGTATGTCTTTTTAAGGCCAAGCATGGTGGCTCACAGCTGTAACCCTAGCACTCTGGGAGGCTCAGATGGGAAGATCATTTGAGCCCAGGAGATCAAGACCAGCACTAGCAAGGGCAAGACCCTGTATGTACTAAAAATAGCCAGGTGTGGCAGGGGCCTGTAGTCCCGGCTACTTGGGAGGCTGAGGCAGGAGGATCACTTGAGCCCAGGAGGTCAAGGCTACAGTGACCCATGACAATGCCCCTGAACCCCAGCTTTGGGCAAGAGCAAGATGCTGTCTCAAAAAAAAATTATTTTGCAAACAGTGTATGAGTTTCCTACAGCTGCTATAACAAATGACCACACATTTAAATAAAACAAATATATTCTCTTACAGTTCTTGGGTAAGAGGTCCAACATGGGTCTCACTCAGCTAAAATGAAGATGTGGCAGGGCAGGTCCCTGCTGGGGGCTTCAAGGGAGAACCTGCCTCCTGCCTTTTCCAGCATCTAGAAGCTGCTGCGTCCTTGGGCTTGGGGCCCCTTCAGAGACAGCAGAACAGCATTTTCTAGTCTCTCTCTGCCTCTAACCCTCCTGCCTCCTTGGATGAGGAACCTGTGGTAACACAGCCCACCGGTAACGTAGGATGACCTCCCATCTCAAGACCCTCAATTCAATCCCATCTGCAGAGTCCCTTCTGCCATGTGAGGTGACCTATCCACTGTCTCTGGGTATTAGAATGGAAACTCTTTGGGGGCTATAATTAAGCCAAACAAAAAATGAAAATTTAGAAACCCTGTAAATCCCCAAATTCTTATTTTTTTTTTCCCTTTGAGACAGAGTTTCCCTATGTTGCCCTCAGCAGAATGCCGTGGTGTCATAGCTCATAGCAGCTTCAAACTCCTGGGCTTAAGCTATCCTCTTACTTCAGTCTCCCAGTAGCTGGGACTACAGGAGCCAGTCACAAGGTCTGGCTATTTTTTGTTACAGTTGTCATTTTGTTTAGCTGGCCCAGGCCAGGTTCAAACCCGTCAGCCTCCGTGTACATGGCTGGCACCATAACCACTGTGCTATGGGCGCCAAGCCATAAATCCCCAAATTCTTAAACTGGCCCTGGAAATAGTTGAGGTAAGTTGCAAAATCAAAGAGGCACAAGACAGCAGTGGGAAACGGTGGCTTCTCTGGTAGGCATTTCCGAGTCATCTCCATTTTTCAGAAATGAAATTGGTCCCTTTCTGGGGACACTGCGCCCTCTAGGGGAGGGATGTCACACCCACCATCCCTGGGGCATGAGGCTGAGTGTAGCCTGAGCTGCCAAAGGCCAAACTGGTGAGTCAAAGTTGTTCTTCCATCAGCTCCTGGAACCTTGATATTTCACGTCAAAAGGCCCTTGAGATCCTTACCTGGTCCCCACATATTCAACAAGTTTTGTGACAAATTCACCTGCCTAAGGCCACAGAACTGGTGAGCAGCCAGCTGGACCACAAAGCACTCTTCTGTCTTTCCCTCTACATCTATTTTTTGGCACACAGTTAAAAGTTTTCTGCCTCATTTTTTTTCAAGGCAGAGTTTAAGTGACATTTGTTGAGAGCAGAAATTAATTCCCAGGCAAAACAAAAACAGAAAATCAGTGTGAGCCCCTTTGTACACCAGCTTTTCCCAAGCTCTATTTTTCTTTTTTTTGAGACAGAGCTTCAAGCTGTCTCCCTGGGTAGAGTGCCATGGCATCACAGCTCACAACAACCTCCAACTCCTGGGCTCAAGCAAGTCTCCTGCCTCAGCCTCCCGAGTAGCTGGGACCACAGGCGCCTACCACAATGCCTGGCTATTTTTTGGTTGCAGCCGTCATTGTTGTTTGGCGAGCCCGGGCTAGATTCGAACCTGCCACCTTAGATGTATGTGGCTGGCACCTTAGCCACTTGGGCCACAGGCACCATGCCCCAACCTCTTTTTTTCTACATGTTTCTGTCCCAGTGGCCCTGACCTCCTACTCTAAGAAATGTAAATCACAGCAATATACTGTATCTTTATTTATTGGGGAGCCCTTGTAATATCAAGATGTTCACCCCTGGGCACAGGGCAACCCCTTGACAAGGTAGGAAAACACAACTGACCACCAGCAGCTGTGGAATCCAAAATCCCACAATTTATTCTGAAGTTCACATCCAGCTCAGGAGGGCAGCCAGGACAGAAACTCTCCCTGCCACCACCCCAACCCTCATGGGAAGCTGCCTAGCCAGGCCACTGGAGACACTTGCATTCCTGTGGAGACAGTGGTGCTGCAGTTTGGGTATTGTTTTGCAGGGATAAGGAGATACATTCAATCAAACAATTCTTGTTTCTGGAAGTCCCACAAAGGCTGGGCTGTGATATCCTTTTCCTGGGTGCTCCAAGAGCTGGACCCCAGACCCAGGTGTTTTCTGCAAGGACTAGGGTGAATTCCTGGAGCTTTGGACTTAGGCAGTAACAGTGGGTTAATTGCACTTGTTCAATTTTGTAGCATTAACTGGCAGAAAAAGGTGGACAATGCCCCCCTCTTTTGTTGTCATCCCAAACACCCAGAAATAACCAGAGCTCTGTGTGTTCTGGGTCAGTGTGGGGGCCGTGAGGGAAGCGCTGCCATGGTTAAAGGCTACTGACATTTCTGTTGACAGGTCGGGGCAGTAGAGGCTCACAGAGTACATGATGTGGCCTCCTTTGGTCACAGACCCTGGTCTAAGCTCCCAGGTCCAGAGCAGACAGTGTTCATGGGTTTTGGTCCCAAAGCCCCTAGGCCATATAGACCAAGGGTTGCCATAAAAGTTGGCAGCATCTATAGAAAATCCTGTTCTAGCAGAAGCAGAGATACCACAACAGGGAGAGGAGCCCATGAGGGCAGATCCATGCCTGCAACACTCACAGGAAAGGGGATGTTGGTCCAGAGATGGAGGTGCTAACTATGGGCTAAGAAAATCTCTCTTTTTTGAGGGGGGGCCAGGGCTGGGTTTGAACCCGCCACCTCTGATATATGAGGCCTGGTGCCCTACTCCTTTGAGCCACAGGCGCTGCCCAAGAAAATATCTTTTTAAAAGATATCTAAGAAATCTTGCTGGGCACAGTGGCTCATACCTATAATCCAGCACTTCAGGAGGCCAAGGTGGGAGGGTTGCTTATGGGCAGGAGTTTGAGACCAGCCTGGGCAATACAGCCAGACCTTGTCTCAAAAATAAAATCTCAAAATAGTCATCAATGAAATTGTATAAAAGTTGGATCTTTTACAACACACAAAGGGCTTTTAGTCAGGGCATGACTCAAACTCTGGATGCAGGAGTCTTAAGGTCCTAGGAGTCCAGGAAACCCCAGATTGAGTAGCACACTTTGGAGGAATGGAAGACCCAGAAGTGGGTCAGGAAGAGAAGGGGGTGAGCAGGCCCATGTCGTACCTCTGTATGAGCACAGCAGTGGCTCTGGTGGGTGCTACAAGGATCTAGGGCTCAGAGGTCAGGGGAGGTGGATTCTTGTCCCCAGCTGGCCTGGGAGCACCCATCCTCTCCCCTCCCAGGTTGGGCAGGTTTGGGCCAAGCTGCTGGCTGTACCTGGGAGATGGCCTAGGCAGGACCAAAGCCATGGGTGGCACGTGGCTATATGAGTTGGCCCCCAGCAAGGTCCAGGTAGGGTTGGTATAGGGGGTCAAAATGGGGATAGAACTTCCCAGGAGGCTGGCAACCACCAAGGCTGGGGGCAGTTCAGGGTTCTCTCCAGCATCCTGGGAAGTGGAAATGTTTTCAAAGCAGAGGGTTTTTTCTGACTACTGACAACATGCAGAATTACAGTTCAGGTTCAATCCCCCGTTCAGAGACAGAGACTGAGGCTCAGAGAGGTGGGCAATGAGGGTGTGGGCCTTCTGTGGCCAAGACGGAAATCAGAGGGGAAGGAACCCACTGTTGAGAGTTGGAGTCTCCTAGAGATGCTCCCACACTTCAGCAGAGGTTAGAGTGCAGGGCTTGAGGGATACCAAGCTCTTGAGATGCTTGGGTCAGAGAGAGACACTGCTGCTTTCCAGGCGTCCTGCTCCAAGTCTCTGTAGCCTGGGTGGAGGTCTGGGCACTGAGAGACCCTCAGGGATCTTAGTGGCACATCCGAGCAGTCATTTCTTTCTGTTTAGAGCAAGCAGATGTCAGATACAGACAGTCAATCACAAAAAGAATGGATAGTGCACACATGGAGATTCATGGGAATGCAGACAGAGGGGTACCCTTGGGATTCCCTGAATCCTAAACTGACAACAGCATGCCCTAGACCAGGGAGTATCAAACTATTTCAGAGCCAGAGAGTCAGTATTTTGGGATTTTCAGGCCAGATAGTCCCTGTCACAATGACTCAACCCTATAGGGTAGTTTGCAAGCCAACACTGACAAGTGGTAACCTCATTAAATGTGCCCATGTGCTAATAAAACTTTGTTTACAAAAATAGGCAGCCAGCCTAGAGGGCTTTATATAGTTTTTAGAACACTAGAAGGAAAGTTCTGGAAAGCAGCCTGGAAATAAGGATTAAAGTCTTTAATGCATGCATGCTATTAATTTTAAATTCAGCAAAATATTTACTGGTAGGCAAAGCCTACAAAGGAATATATGACAAGAAGTTGTCTGAAAGTTTTTTTTTTTT